TTGCTGTTGTAACTTTTATATTTATTTTATATTTATTTTTTATATTTATTTTCCCAAATAGGAATAGATTCTAAACCCTAGGAACTGGCTGGAGTGTGTATTTCTAATTATCTGCTGCCACCATGTGGCTAAATTGAGAATTACACCACTCTAATAGGCAAAGAAATAACTTCTTCCCGAATGATTCTCTGCTGCCCTCAAGTGGTCATGAGTGGAACTGACAGGCATTAAGTCAGGAGGCTGTGAGGGTTTTGCCCACAGTTATCATGGCGGCATAGACTTCACTGCCCACATAAAATATGGCGGCACTTCCGCTTTCCCGCACCTTTACCTTAGATCAACATGGCCGCCGCTCTCTGGCATTGCCCTTTTCAAACATGGCTGCATTGCCAACATTTTTGCTCTCTTTCACACAGACTACACACGCACCCTGTCTAGAAGCCGGAAATATTGATTTTTTATTGCTTTTTCTTGCCAAATAACCCTTTTGCGTCTCTCCAAGAGCGATACAATCCGTGAAACCTTAACCAAGAGTTGCCCATGACCAAGATGGCGGCAAGAGACCAAACCTTGGCATCGCCTCGCTGCACTGCGCATGCTCTGAACCTTCAACTCGTGATGCTCATGAGGGGCGGGGCCAAGGAAAGAGATGGCGGCTTCTACAGCAGCAGCAGCTTCTGCAGGGCGAGCATGGAGCCGGGTTGGGGTCACAGGGGTGATGAACCCCTCTGTTGGGAACTTCCACAGGCAGGTGAGAGCTGTAGGCGGGGTCACTGTCTGTGACTGCAGCATGCTCAAGGGTCATGACCTTGCAGGTGGGCTGCCAGGGACTAGTCCAGGCCTGGGCCAACTTGGGCTCTCCAGGTGTTTTGGACTGCAACTCCCATCATTCCTAACAGCCTCAGGCCCCTTCCTTTCCCCCTCAGCCGCTTAAGCGGCTGAGGGGGAAAAGGAAGGGGCCTGAGGCTGTTAGGAATGATGGGAGTTGCAGTCCAAAACACCTGGAGGGCCCAAGTTTGCGCATGCCTACTATATCATTGAGTCTGGGAGCATCCACATTGGAGAACTAATGCAGTTTGATGCATCCATAAACACCTCTTATACGCATAACCAGGAAAAGTTATTTCTTTTGTTTGAGTTTTTTTGTGCAATACTTTTAATTATTTTTGTGCGTCCTCGCATTTGCTTCCCAGATCCACAGAAGGTGCCTGCGAGTCAAAACTCCCTTTTCCACACATCGACATCCACTGAATGGTGGCTGTGCTATTCTGTTGAGACCAGCAATTCGGTGTCAAAGCACAGCAGCCGTTGCTGGTGCCCAGGTAAGGGAAATACATTTATAGCATTGTGAGGTTGGAAAAGATCTCAAGGTCTACACCAGGGGTCCTCAAACTAAGGCCCGGGATGTGTTGGATGTGTTGTTGTTGTGTTCTGACATTGAATGTTTGCCTTTTATGCTTGGAATCTGCCCTGAGTCCCTCCGGGGAGATAGGGTAAAATATAAATAAAGTTTTTATTATTGTCATAGGAGCCCCTGGTGGTGCAGTGGGTTAAACCCCTGTGCCGGCAGGACTGAAGACTGACAGGTCGCAGGTTTGAATGCGGGGAGAGGTGGATGAGCTCCCTCTGTCAGCTCCAGCTCCTCATACGGGGACATGAGAGAAGCCTCCCACAAGGATGATGATAAAAACATCAAATCATCCAGGTGTCCCCTGGGCAATGTCCTTGCAGACAGCCAATTCTCTCACACCAGAAGCGACTTGCAGTTTCTCAAGTTGCTCCTGACACGACAAAAAAAATGCAAGAAATATTCCTCTCTTTTGCCTTTAGGTTATTCAGCCTCTCGTCTCCCCGCCTATAGAGACCTCTCTCCCTGCAGCAGATCTCGGCCAGGCTGTTCAGGAGCTGAGCTTTGCTGAGCTGGGCCTAGGCGCCCACACCCCGGTCGGCCTAATCCAGAACTTGTTGGAGTGCCTCCATGTGGACGTGGGGCTCCCTTGGTGGGGAGCCATTGTCGCAGGTGAAGAAATTGTTGGGGTCAGATACAACTTTTCCCTGGCAGACAGGGCAGTGTGGGCCACTTGGAAAGACCTGGAGTCCCATGGCATTTGTAACCTTGGTACAGTTAAGACCACAGACTCACTTCTTGGCATCTCCTCCCAAAATTGGTCAAAGAATCTTGACCAATAAGAGACCCTACCTGAGACCCTTTCTTAGATAGACTATGGACCCATTCACATTATATTATTAGAACGTTATTCTGCTTTCACTGCCATGACTCACTATGGAACTCCCAGATTTTCAGTTAAGAAGAAGGATGTAGAATTCTTAGCTGGAGAGCTCTAGGGCCTGACCAGACTACAAATCCTAGGATTTGATCCAATGCAAGAATAGCAAAAGTGCAACATGGTGTTATATAGTTTGAGCACCTCTTATCCAGAAAGCCAAAATTCAAAATCATCCATATTGTTGAGATACCAACAGCTTTGTTTTTGTCCCATGTACACAAATTTTGCTTCATGTACAAAATTATTCCATGTGTTATATATACAATTCCCCACTGGCAATGTGTATATGAAACGTAAATGAATTTCATGTTCAGATTTAGATCTACAAGAGATCTCATTAAGCAAATATTCCAAAATCTGAAAAAATCCCAGACATTTCTGATCCCAAGCATTTGGATAAGGGATACTCAGCCTGTAATTGTTTGGTGTGGATAGGACCCATGGGTTTGAGTTCATAGCCACAATTGACCAGTGTGAGCTTGTTTGTATATATAGAAATACAGAAGTCTCGTGACATTTAAACTTTGAGTTATAGGTATGTTATGGTTCTATTGCTATTGTTGTTACTGTCCATATAGTAGGAGAGATGGACAAAAAAGTTGTTTCTAAATTTTGTTTATTTTCCCCTAAAAGAAGATATGAGGGGAACACTAACTCACTGAGGATATTCCAGTGAGTGAGGACCAGTTTTTGCTTCCTAACCACCTGGATTGTGCATAGATATTGTATGCATGTTGGTGCTTAGATTTACCAATGTATGGAAAAGTTGCTATTGGACTACAACTCCTAGATTCCCCAACTCACCAGTCAGATAACTTCGCACCCTTTCTTCATTTCGCTATCTTAGCCTGTTCGGCAACCACAGGCAACTTGGAAGAGCCTTTGCCAAATGCACGTACATTACAACCCCCATATCCCCAGGGAGATATGTTCCTGGACTTTATTTAGATTTGCAAGACCATAGATAACAGTGAGCCCTATTCTTGGACCAGAATATCAAACGATCATGCTGGAGCACCTAGAAAAGGCCTCAAGAGGACACATTTTTTTGGATGAGGATCAGTGAAACTACAGATACTGATCCTGCAGATAAATGAGGGTCATGCTGTGATAAATTACAACCGCATGCCTATTTATTTAGCTTCTTTATATAGTACATTTCTTCTGTTACTTGCTAATTTTCAAGTCCTTGCAGTGGCATTTTGAGTCAAAAACAGTACCAAACTCTGTGTTTTGGGTAATTACAGCTCGTCAGGTGCAGCCATGAGCTTTGGGACAGCATTATGGGGCGTTCCTGTTTTGTTTGTTTGTTTTTGTTTGTTTTTATATTGCCAAGTAACAGCTTTTCTCTCCTCCCAAACTTTTCAGGGACTGTGGTGGCGCGTTGCCTGGTCTTCCCTCTCATAGTAAAGGGACAGCGAGAGGCAGTAAAGCTCAACAACCACTTGCCCCAAATCAGTGAGCTAACCACCCGCATGAATGAAGCCAAGCAGTCGGGGAACAAATTTGAATGTGAGTTGTTGTCTAGTGGCTTAACAGGCCATGGCCTGGCTATAATAACATTCAAAGGAACCATGTTGTTTGTTAAGGAGCAACAAGGGTGCTCAAGAAAGATCCTTAATCCAGGCTTTCCTAGCCTGATGCTCTCTAAATCACTTCTTCTTAAATGTTGATCCCAACCCCAAATGGGATCCCCTATCTATAGCTCAAGTGCTGTGGTCACAAAAAAGTGTGCAACTGTTCAAGGTTTCTCACCACCTAGTGGCTTAGACATTACACAAATCCATCAGCAACACAGTAAACTGCAGAAAATGATTCACTTGTACTTCATAAATAAAATCCTGTTTAGCAAGCTTTGCAAATGCTGGTTTATTATTAGTAAATGTCTGACATTTACACTTCTTTATATATCTAAATAATACCCAGGGCCATGCAAAAATGTCTTGGGCAGAAAGAGTTGCAAAGTGCAAAAGATTTAAAAAGCCCTGCACCAAATGGGTTGTTGTTGGTTTTTTCAGGCTATATGGCCATGTTCTAGAGGCATTTCTCCTGACGTTTCACCTGCATCTATGGCAAGCATCCTCAGAGGTAGTGAGGTCTGTTGGAACTAGGAAAATGGGTTTATATATCTGTAGAAAGACCAGGATGGGACAAAGGATTCTTGTCTGCTGGAGCTAGGTGTGAATGTTTCAACTGACCACCTTGATTAGCATTTGATAGCCTGGAAGTGCCTGGAGCAATCTTTTGTTGAGAGGTGATTAGATGTCCCTGATTGTTTTCCCTCTGCTGTTTTGCTGTTTTAATTTTAGAGTTTTTTTTAATACTGGTAGCCAGATTTTGTTCATTTCAGAAAAAACCTGCAGCCTTTGGGTCAACAAGCTGAGCGGCTCAGCAGTTTAACCCACTGCGCCACCGGGGGCTCATTAAACAGGATGTTCAGGGGGGGAAACCTACAACAACCCAGTGATTCCGGCCATGAAAGCCTTCGACAATACACCTGCACCAAATGTTTTGGACTATAATCCCCATAATCTATAAACAGAATGCTTATCATAACTACTGAAAATTGTCATCCAGTCCTTCCATATAATGCCAGGCTAGATCCACACTGCCATATAATACCGCATTAAACTGGATTATAGCAGTCACCCTGCCATATAATTCAGTTCAGTGCAATTAAACTCCATTCTGAAACGACATTAATTGGCAGAGTAGATGGCCCCTGTTCAAGGAAGGGTGAGTTGATCTATAGATGTTGGGAAGTGGATTTTAAGATGGATATGACATTATGCAGTTTTTTTTTCTTTTGCAGTTGCAAAGGCTTATTCGGATCTGGCCCTCTACCAGAAGACCCACAACGTCAACCCCTTGCGGGGGTTCCTGGTGCCCCTGGTCCAGGTGAGCTTCCATCCCACATCTTCCCTCAACACCACTGTACACTTCCCAGTTACTCACAGTTGAAATGTCTTTCTTTTTCTCTCCCCAGGCTCCCATTTTCATCTCCTTCTTCATCGCCCTGCGCAAAATGGCCGAGCTCCCTGTCCCCAGCATGCAAACGGGTGGGCTGTGGTGGTTTGCAGACCTCACTGCTGCCGACCCGTACTACGTCCTGCCCCTGGCGGTGACGGCGTCCATGTGGGTCATTTTAGAGGTAAGCTGTGGTCAATGAAGCTGAACACTAAGCCTCTACAGGACTTGGCCATTAATTGTAGTTTGCCAACAACCTTCTCTTCTCACAACAAGACTCTAGAAAGCACAAAGAACCAAGGCTTCAGGATCATTTGTGATGGACTTGAACAGCCAGGGCAATGACTGGATTTATGGACTTAGTCAAACACCTACCTAAATACAAACCCCAGAATATTACCTTTTAATCAACATAATGTTGGGGATCCTTAGCTATTTGCAGATGGGCTATGAAACTCTGTTAGTAATTACAGAAACACGGTGTAAGGAAACAGCATAAGCGCAATGTGGAATGGGACCAATGTGCATTAGTCCTATTCCGATATGTATGATACAGATGTTACAAAGCTGCCCAATTCTTACTTTATATCAGTGTTTCTTAACCTTCCTAAGGCTGCGAACCCTTAATACAGTTCCTCATGTTGTGGTGACCCTCAACCAGAACATTATTTTGTTGCTACTTCATAACTTTAATTTTGCTATTGTTATGAATTATATAAATATCTGATATGCAGGATGTATTTTTATTCACTGGATCAAATTTGGCACAAATACCCAATACTCCCAAATTTGAATTAGTGGGGTTGGGGGAAGATGTTGATTTTGTCATTTGGGAGTTGTAGTTGCTGGGATTTATAGTTCACCTACAATCAAAGAGTATTCTGAACCCCACTAACATAGAATTGGGCCAAACTCACACAGAACCCCCATGCCAACAGAAAATACTGTGTTTTTTATGGTCTTTGTGACCCCTTTGAGACCGCCCCCCCCCCCCCCAGGCGTCACAACCCCCAGTTGAGAAACACTGCTTTATATCATTTCCTCACACATATAGAATCATGGAAGAGACCACAAAGGCCATCCAGTCCAACCCCCTGCTATGCAGGGAAACACAATCAAAGCGCCCTGAAAGATGGCCACATGCCACAAGGTCTATCCCACAATTTCAGTATCACATCTCTAAGAGAGGAACAAATTCAGAGAAGAAGGAAAAGATATTAAAACTAGCCACCCCCTGCCACGCGTTGCTGTGGCCCACATGGGGGTTCTGTGTGGGAGGTTTAGCCCAATTCGATCGTTGGTGGGGTTCAGAATGCTCTGTGATTGTAGGTGAACTATAAATCCCAGCAACTACAACTCCCAAATGTCAAGATTCTATTTTCCCCAAACTCCACCAGTGTTCACATTTGGGCATATTGAGTATTCTTGTAGAGTTTGGTCCAGATCCACAGTGATCTCTGGATGTAGGTGAACTACAACTCCAAAACCAAAGGACACTGCCCACCAAACCCTTCCAGTATTTTCTGTTGGTCATGGGAGAACTGTGCGCCAAGTTTGGTTCAATTCCATCGTTGGTGGGGTTCAGAATGCTCTTTGATTGTAGGTGAACTATAAATCCCAGCAACTACAACTCCCAAATGACAAAATCAAAAATTTTTGAGTGATGGTCACTCCTTGTGTTGTGAGACATTTTATTGCCAAATTTGGTGTGATTTCGTTCATTGGTTCTTTTATTTTTAAGGTATTCATTACGCACAAAGCATTTTATATATATAGATGAGGTAATAGCAGGAAAGTATAATTTGCTTCCCCCCCCCCCCCCCCCCCCCCCTCTCTGCAGCTGGGAGCTGAATCAGGAGTGTCCAACCCAAACCTCCGGGTTATGAAGACGGTTATGCGTGTGATGCCACTTGTTATTCTGCCTCTCACGATCTCCTTCCCAACGGTGAGAAAGGTTTTGTCTCATTTCATCTACTTACTCATTGTAAAATTTAATTGAATTTTTGCTGTTAGTATGGTGTAAACCACCTTGAGACTGTTCCCCGTCCCCCCAGGGGTGAGAAAATGGTGGCTCTCAAACTTTGGTCTTCCAGGTGCTCTGAGTTCAGCTCCTAGGGTCTCTGACCTATCAAGCAAGCTATGAGCGTCTCCTGAGAGTTGAAATCCAAAACACCCGGTAGACCATAGTTTAGGAATCATGGCTGTAGAAAATGTTATGAACAGGTAGTGGTTGATGTTATATATTGATATGAAGCATACCATCACCGATTTAGACTCATTGCATGTAACCAAATTCTCTCACCTTGGCAGTTGAAGGATTACACACCCTGCAATGCCAGCCACACAAGAGCTTTGGAGGCCTAAATAAAGCACTAGATCCTATTTGAACTATCTATTGAGGCAGTTATTCCATGAAGTTTCCACACTGAGCATTCATTTATTTATTTATTTATTATTTACTGTATTTCTGTACCGTCTTTCTCAGCCCCTAGGTGACTCAGGGCAGTTAACAGGGTAAAATTCAATGCTTACAATGTTGTAAAAACCATTAAAAACATAACATATAATAAAAACTAAACAAATCAATAAAATATAAATTCATAGTATCTCCTTGTTAAAAACATTGTCCGGTCACATTGTCGTCATTCCATTTTCCTATGTCTGTTACTCTGCATTTGCAAATGCTTGTTCAAAAAGCCACGTCTTGACTTTTTTCCAGAATGTTAAAAGGGAGGTGGCCAATCTAATATCTATAGGGAGGACATTTCATAGTCAAGGGACCACCACCGAGAAGGCTCTGTCTCTCGTCTCCACCAAACGTACTTGTGACGAAGGCGGTAACAAGAGCAGAGCCTCCCCAGATGAAGTTCCTAGATGGTTCATAAGGGGAGATGCGTTCGGACAGAACCATTTAGGGCTTTATAGGCTACTTTGAATTGTACCCGGTAGCAAACTGGCAGCAATTTGATTTATATTTATCAATATAAATTTATATTACCAAATTTATGGCAATTTAATCTCTCTTTAACAGCCATGTCTCTGCCCCGTTGAATTCTGGGATTTGTAGTTTAGTTCAGAATAAGCAAACTGGACCGAAACTAACAGAAAATTTAACAAAAAATGCAATGTAGAGATATAGGATAGGCGACTCCTGGCTTCAAATCAGCCCATGTAAAAGGAATCCAGGAATCCATATTACCATCCATGGTAATATGGATGATGCAATTGGACCACGATTTTAGTTAGGAGATGTATTGGATTGTGATTTCGTGTAATATTGTGTATTATGTTTTTTATGGTTTTAATTGTATACTGTGCACTGTATATTTTGTTGTAAACCGCGTTGAGTCGCCAATTAGGCTGAGAAACGGCGGTATACAAGGACAGTAAATAAATAAATAAATAAATTAGTAAGTCACAAGCCAACAGTGTGATGCCGCAACTAAAAAGCCAATGTGATTCTAGGCTGCATCAATAGGAGTATAGTATCTAAATCAAGGGAAGTCATAGTCCCACTCTATTCTGCTTTGGTCAGATCTCACCTGGAACACTGACCAGTTCTTGGCCCCACAATTCAATTCAGTTACATTCTGTTCCCATCAAATATAACATGATTACTCTCTGGAAGAGAATTCTTGGTCCCTTCCCAAAACTGCAACTCTCAGGATTAACTGCCACATAAAAGTTGTAGCGATTAAAGTGGGATCCAATACCTATAACTCCAGGTTAGGGACACCCCACTTTTGTAGTCAAGCTATGCAGAGCTTTCCTATACAGGCCATAACTGTAAGACTGTAGGTTTTATATAGCAATATTAAATGATCACTCAGAAGCCGGTTTTGCTTGGAAATGAATATATTGCTTGTATCTCCCACCACCATTTCCTTTTATACACCTTTCCTGCTCATCTCCCCCCTCTTCTCAGTTTCCTTATTAGAGCTTGTTGCTTCATAAGTTCCAATACAAGGTTTCCAGCATCCTCTGCTGGCTTCAAAATGTCACAGAGAGAAAACTGAGGCAGCCAGGATGATTCAGTCAGGATGTCACGGAGCGAATTTGTGATGTCTTCATGCTGTCAAAAATTGACTCCTGACAATAACAATGCTTGGTACTCTCTCTTTCCTTTTTCCATGCAGGCTGTCTTCACCTATTGGATGACTTCGAACCTATTCTCATTGGTGCAAGTGGGTGTTCTGCGTATACCTGCCATTCGCACCCGCCTCCGCATCCCTGAGCGTGTGGAGCACGACCCGACTTACCTGCCTCCCCAGGAGGGATTTGTGAAGAGCCTCAAGAAAGGCAAGTTGGCAGGAGGGGGGAGTTGGAAGGCGGCAACAGGGAGAGTTAGGCGGAGAGGTCCTGTAAGTATGCCAACCCATACAAAGCTAATTGCATCCTGCTTTAACCAACCTGCAGGATGGAAGAATGCACAGTTGGCTCAGCAGCTGGAAGAAAGGGAGCGGCGCATCAAAAACCACCTGGATTTGGCAGCTAAAGGTAGGCTTCCTTCATCCCTGATCCTCATTTAATACCATCTATGGCAAGCATGGACAAACTTTGGTGCACTGGCTGTTAGGAATTGTGGAAGTTGAAGTCCAAAATACCTGTAGGGCCAAAGTTTGCCCATGCCTGGACTAAAGATGTATTTTATGTTGGACACACAAGGGAATGTATTCTTTGTGCTGCTAGGAATCAGTAGAAAATGGGGTACACATTGAGCATCCCTTATGAGAAATATCAAAGTCCTGCAAAATCCAAAATTGTCCATATGGGTGGCTGAGGTGGTGACACCATTGCTTCCTGATGCATCAATATATGCAAACTTTATTACATACTCTGTGATTTTTTTTTCTGATGGCCACAACTTTAAAAATACAGTATTGTAAAATGGCAAAAGATATAGGGGGGAAAGCATCCAAAATAATCCAACTGCCTCCCTGTGAGCACAACTGGAGATCATAGATCTCACTGGCTGCCGATCTGCTACCGGGCCCAATTCAAGGTGCTGGTGTTGGCCTACAAAGCCCTAAACGGTTCCGGCCCAAAATACCTTTCTGACCGCATCTCGGCCTATGAGCCCACGAGGACCTTGAGATCGTCTGGGGAGGCCCTTCTCTCGATCCCGCCTGCCTCACAGGCACGTCTGGCGGGGACGAGGGATAGGGCCTTCTCGGTGGTGGCCCCCCGGCTGTGGAACACCCTCCCTGTAGACATCAGACAGGCGCCCTCCCTTATGACATTCCGCAAGAGACTAAAGACGTGGTTGTTTGAGAAGGCGTTTGACTAAGTGCTACAACAATTGGCAATGATGATTGGAACGGAATACGGATAACGAGATTGGATTGTGATTCTATGATGAGACGTCGCGAATGATTTAGTGTAATTGTATTATTGATAGTGATGTTGTTATTGTTGTTTGTGATATTGCCTTTATTGTAAATTGTTTTTATATGTTGTACACTGCCGTGAGTCGCCCTAGGGCTGAGAACGGCGGTCTACAAGTGCAGTAAATAAATAAATAAATAAATAGACTCATAGAATCATAGAGTTGGAAGAGACCTCATGGGCCATCCAGTCCAACCCCCTGCCAAGAAGCAGGAATTTTGCATTCAAAGCACCCCTGACAGATGGCCATCCAGCCTCTGTTTAAAAGCCTCCAAAGAAGGAGCCTCCACCACACTCCGGGCAGAGAGTTCCACTGCTGAACAGCTCTCACAGTCAGGAAGTCCTTCCTCATGTTCAGATGGAATCTCCTTTCCTGTAGTTTGAAGCCATTGTTCTGTGTCCTAGTCTCCAGGGAAGCAGAAAACAAGCTTGCTCCCTCCTCCCTGTGACTTCCTCTCACATATTTATATAGATATTGAGGCTTAGAACAAAAAAGTAGATATTCTAGAAAAAAGTTCTGGGGAAAGTGTATGAATCTTTCCCTGTAGGTGAGTTGAACTTCCAGGAGATTTAGGATAGACAAAAGAAGCTTCTCTTTCCCCATAATTTTTAAAATGTACTCCCCAGCAATTCAGAAGGCTTTTTAAACAAGTAAAGGTTTTCCCCTGACATTAAGTCCAGTCGTGTCTGACACTGGGGGTTGGTGCTCATCTCCATTGCTAAGCCAGAGCTGGTGTTGCCCATAGACACCTCCAATGTCATGTGGCCGGCATGACTACACGGAGTGTTGTTACCTTCCCGCCGGAGCGGTACCTATTGATCTACTCCCAATAGCATGTTTTCGAACTACTAGGTTGGCAGAAGCTGGGGCTGACAGCAGAAGCTAACACCACTCCCTGGATTCAAACCTACAACCTTTCGGTCAACAAGCTGAGCAGCTCAGCAGTTTAACCCACTGCACCACTGGGGACTCCTTAAATAGGATTGGTCCTAATTAAACATTTTTTTTTGGGGGGGGGGGGGTTAATACAGCCCAGAAAACACACAGCAACCCAACCAATTTTTTCATTCTTTTTCGCTACTCAGGGCCACTGCGGCAGACCTTTTCCCACAATCCTCTGGAGCAGCACCCACCTCCTGCGACGAAACCACCCCCACGAAAGAGACCATGGGAGGATACGTTAGGCTGAGCCAAGCCTGTCAACTTCATCAGCCCTATTCAAAGCAAAGACTTGACACAGCAGCAGGTTGTCATATTCCTACTGCCACCGCCGCTTCAGTTTTCTGATCTTTGTTTAATAAAGGACTTGGAAGTTCCTTCTCTCTCTTTTGGCTCTACTGCAGTCAGGTTAGTGTAAAAGAAAGAGAGAGACAAGGAAGGTGGTGGTATTAAGCCAGCATCCGATCTCTGCATGCATTCAGCTACACGCATCTCACTCCAGAAGTAATTTTCTCTATTTGCAAAATGACTCTGTGTAGCTCATTTTCATTGAAAGGCCATAATTCAACAGACAAGGAAAGAATTTAACAAAAAAATGATGCTTTATTGGCTGTGTTCCCCTAATACCACTTGCAATCTCTCTTGACTTCTGTTTCTGGATTTTTGTTTTTTGGAAGGCCCCTGCTGGAAGCAGTAATCATCCATTTGTAAACAAGCATAGTCCAGTAATGGCAGCCATGAACCATTGCTGAAGACTATATTTTTCATCCCTGGGAAAATCTATGGAGTGGTCATGGTTTATTGGGGCTCCTGCTGATGTGGGTTCTTGTGCACCAAAGAGAGAGTGGAAAGTATTTTCAAAAAGTCCTAAAGATGCTGCAGCAGCTGTCACCCTGGTTTCCAACAACAAAGTCAGAAACAATAAATTAAGAGTTCTCAGAAGAGTCCATTGCATGAGGAGAAGGGAGAAGCCAGTCTCCCTGATAATTCTGTCTCCGTCACTGAGACTTTACATCATTGTCGGGATCCATCTCCGTCAAGACAGACAAGGACACAATCTGAATGAAACGTGTCACAGCGGCTGTGAGAAAAACAGAATAAATTCACCAGTTAGCAAAACAGGCAAAGAGAGAACAAACATATCTGAGAGAGCTGCCAATATAAGAGACATCAGCCAGGTTGTAGCTGGAATGGTGAAGCAAAATTTAGGGCAAAAGTACAACAAGCTCACTGAGACCAGCACTTTTCTAGATGTTATTCAGCTGGACCTCTCTTCGTGTCTCAAAATTGACTAGAACTGATGGGAGTTGTAGTCCCAACAGTATCTGGAAAACCACATGTTCCCCATCCCTGGAATGAAAGATTTCCGTCTCCGCAAAAATGTGAAATTCCGATGCTATGTTTGAAATAGCTGGGCAGATCTTTGCCTCCTCCAACTTTGCTTGCAGAATCTGTTACCTTGTAGAACTCTTTGTTTCTGCTAGAGCAGCGTTTCTCAACCTGGGGGTAGGGACCCCTGAGGGGGGTCATGTGGAGGGTGTCAGAGGGGTCATCAAAGATCATCAGAAAACAGTATTTTCTGTTGGTAAGGGGGGTTCTGTATGGGAAGTTTGGCCCAATTCTATCATTGGTGGGGTTTAGAATACTCTTTGATTGTAGGTAAACTATAAATCCCAGCAACTACAATTCCCAAATGTCAAGGTCTATTTTCCCCAAACTCCACCAGTGTTCACATTTGGGCATATTGAGCATTTGTGCCAAGCTTGGTCCAGATCCATCATTGTTTGAGTCTATAGTGCTTCCTAGATGGAGGTGAACTACAACTCCAGAACTCAAGGTCAATGCCTACCAAACCCTTCCAGCATTTTCTGTTGGTGAAAATGTGCCAAGTCTGGTTCAATTCCATCATTGGTGGAGTTCAGAATGCTCTTTGATTGCAGGTTAACTCTAAATACCAGGAACTACAAATCCCAAATGACAAAATGAACCCGCCCCCAACCCCACCAGTATTCAGTTTTGGGCATATCAGGTCTTTGTGCCAAATTTCGTCCAGTGAATGAAAAGACATCCTGCATATCAGATATTTACATTGCAATTCATAACAGTAGCAAAACTCCAGTTAAGAAGTAGAAACAAAAATAATGTTATGGTTGGGGATCACCACAACATAAGGAACTGTATTAAGGGGTTGTAGCGTTAGGAAGGTTGAGAAACACTGGTCTAGAGGGTGAAGCGCATGATACTATAGCTTTCTTTGTGACTAGTTTGGGATAGACCAGAGGTCATCTATTTTCCCTCCACTTTTTTATTTTTTAAGAGAAGGGTGTATAAAAAGGGACAATGTAGTAACGTTACATGGGAAAGAAGCGTCTATAAGTATGTGCACCAACAAAAACTAAGACGTTGTAAAGTGAAACAGTAAAAAGGGGGGAAAGCAGTACAAGTCCAAAACGACAGTATATATAACACATAACTCCATCTATAAAATAAAACATAAATAAACATTTGAACCAAATACATTATTATAGAGTCCCGTCGGATCATATTGCAATATGTTTGGGGGACAAGAAGAGACAAGATCTGGGAAATGATGGAGACACCATCACTCACCCGCAACCCGACGTAGGCACTGTGGTCTTTTTTCTTCAGGTACTCGCACCACCAGGTAATAGACAGGGAGGCCAGAAACCGCAATTGCAATGCCAATGAGAGAGTTGATGATGTCAGTGTAGAGGGGGACTGCTACCAGGAAGATGGTGCAAAAGCAGAAGATAATGGGGAAGACGATGCTAAGCTGGTAAGGAGAGAAGAAGACAAAGAAGGAACTGAACATTGTCCCCAAGCCCTTGGAAGTTGGGCTCACTCCTATTTCAAAAGGATGCTCGAAAGAAGGCAGAAGGCGGACACTCCACCAAGAGGAGAGATCATTAAGAATCTGCAGGAAATAGACTGAAGTCTATAATGCGAACACTAGGGCAATTCTTAGAGGCCTGTGTTAACACTTGCCTGTTGTTGCAAGAAATGGAAGACAAGTGAACTTTAGTCTAAACCAAATAGAAACTTCTTGCATTTTAAAGCAGGAGAGAGCTACTGTGGAGGCCATTACCCTCGGGTGAAAACTTAGAAGGTTGCTCTCCAACTCCCCACTCTGCTTCAACAACAACAGAAAGCATTAATAGTAGGGAGTTTGTCCCAAAATATTATCTCAGATACATTTTGTCCCAAAATATTATCTCAGATACATACACATGCATTCTGCCACAGTTCACAAATGGAACTACTATATATACTCAAGTATAAACCGAGTTTTTCATCCCTTTTTTTAGGCTGAAAAAGCTCCCCGTGGCTTATACTCGAGTCAATGTTATTTATTATTTTTATTACATTTATTACTTTATTTTTATTATTACAGTTATTATTTTACTCTGTTATTATTACATGTGTTATTCTACTCTATTATTGTTACTATTTTGTTGTTGTTCATTCATTCAGTCGTTTCCAACTCTGCGTGACCTCATGGACCAGCCCATGCCAGAGCTCCCTGTCAGCCGTCACCCCCCCCCCCCCCCCCCCAGTTCCTTCAAGGTCAATCCAGTTACTTCAAGGATGCCATCCATCCATCTTGCCCTTGGTCAGCCCCTCTTCCTTTTTCCTTCAATTTTCCCAAGCATCATTGTCTTCTCTAAGCTTTTCTTTCTTCTCATGATGTGGCCAAAGTACTTCATCTTGGCCTCTACTATTCTTCCCTCCAATGAGCGGTCGGGCTTTGTTTCCTGAAGTATGGACTGGTTGGATCTTCTGGCAGTCCAAGGCACTCTCAGAACTTTCCTCCAACACCACAGTTCAAAAGCATCTATCTTCCTTCACTCAGTCTTCCCTATGGTCCAGCTCTCACATCCGTAGGTGACTATGGGGAATACCATTGATTGTTACTATAAAATTTGTTGTTGTTCATTCGTTCAGTCGTCTCTGACTTTTCGTGACCTCATGGACCAGCCCACGCCGGAGCTCCCTGTCAGCCATCACTACCCCCAAGGTCAGTCCAGTCACTTCAAGGATGCCATCCATCCATCTTGCCCTTGGTCGGCCCCTCTTAATTTAACCTTTACATTTACATTATTTTACTCTTATTATTATTATTACATTTATTATTTTACTCTATTATTATTGGAAGGATACCTAAGCACATGAAGAAGGTTAGAATAATGGTTTAATCAGAGTTGGACAGTCTTATCTTAAATTACAGTTTTATGTAACTATCAAATACATTTAATCTACTGATGCCTCAATTAATGTAATTTTATTGGTATCTATTTTGATTTTGAAATTCATCAGGAACTAATTCATTTCCTACTCTTGGCTTATACTCGAGTCAATACGTTTTCCTAGTTTTTTGTGGTAAAGTTAGGTGCCTTGGCTTATATTTGGGTCACCTCATTCTCGAATATATAAGGTAACCCAAAATTGTCAAAAAGACATCTCCTGATCTTAAATGGGCAGACAGTCCATGCCTAGACCTGTGCCCAGTCTTATTTTACAGCCAAAGAGGAGAATTATTATGTACATCTGACTCCTGGGAGTCCATCACAGCATAACCAGTTATGAAGCATCTCTAGTTCAAAAGCATACAGAGGAAAGGAGCTGCCTACTCCTGTGTTAAAGTAAAAGTGTGTGAACATCTAATCAGTATTAGGAGACCCTGAGTAGGTAGTCTGCTTTGTACATTGGGAGGGGGCTTCTATGTTCAGCATATAAACTTAGTATTGTTTCTTCTCTCCCTACCTTGAGGGGTCGTTCTTTGGACGGTTCCTTCCAGCGCAGGTAGAGTTGCCCTGCGATCGACAGCCCCACAAAGAACCAGTAGCTAAAGCTGTAATAGTTGATCAGCTGGAAGATGTCTTCTACACACAAATAGACCAGAGACATGGCACCCTGTAGAAAACGTGAGACAAATGGAGCAAGGCCCACGCAGCGTTACTAGAATAAACTCTTCTGCCTTCCTGTCAGCTCACACTCCACCCACACTTCTGCATGAACTTGGAATAGCAACCCTGTCAGCGAGACTCGTGGAATAGATAATGGAGTCTATGAACCCAGTCCTCACCAAGACTGGGACCACCCACACGCATCTCCCTAGGAGAACCCACAAGTATTCCCGAAATTGTTGCTTTGTGTTATTTTAGGTGTTGTCTCATTATACTTGACCTCGTTCTTCCTTCCTGGGCTCTCAGACAGCAGCTGCCATGGTGGTTTCTAACAGAGAAGCCTTCCGAACAGCAGCTCAGACCTGCTTTCTCAGTAGTGTAATGGTATCTAGACCACAAACAGGCCACATCTGGCCCTTGGATGTCTTCAGCATGGGCCACTGTGGGTGTTT